TGATGTGATGTTTGATGTGAATAAGTAACTCGCACAGGTCGTACTCGCACAGAGTCGCATACCTGGAACTCGAATTGGCAATTGCCGGAGTCAGAACCCTCTGTTCAAAACAACAATGTACAACATAGGATTACTATTTCAAATAAATCATATTTGCGTACGCCTGCCATAATTCACGGTTGAACGAATTAGTTAATAAGATTTAAGCACGTTTTCACTATTATCTTGATAACGTCAAAAACGAGAAATAAAAAGGTTACAGTCCATTTGTTGATTACGTTTCATATTTTTTTACAATCTACTAGTATGATATAATACCTAAATATATTTCTTTTATCCACGTGGTGACGGATTAAGAATACAGATTGTCACCACCCCTATTCATCCTGTGATAAATAGAGGTGACTAAGGGAGCAAAATACGCAGGACAACAGCAGTGCAAAGAGAAGGAAGACTTGAATCAAACCCTACACCAACCCGTCTGGCCAGCGTGCTAGAGTATGCTAAAACTTCACACATCAAAAACATCCTGTCGAAGGAGAGGCCTATGTCCAGCCAGTTGAGTACAAAAGGCTGTTGATGATGATGATAAATAATGATTATGATGTTCATTTTAATTTTAAAATCTTACGCATTCGACCATATTCAACCAGATCTCAGAAAACGGGAGATCAGATAGTCTTCAAATATTACTATCGCAGAAGAATCAATAGCACAGTAAAAAAAAATATGGAAGAGAGGGAAAACGAGCAGATGGGTTACCTGATGAAATGCCACCACCGCCGCCCATGAACGCCTGCAACTCAGGCGTTTCAAGCAAGTTGCCGGCCTTTTAGGAAGGAGTAGGCTTTATTCTTGAAGGTTTGAAGGTCGTATCTGCCCGGAAATACCAGAGACGATAACCTGTTCCACAGATTGGTTGTGGGAGGCAAAAAGTGGCTTGAAAAGCGAACAGTGGTGAAGTGTCAATTATCCAAGTGGTAAGGATAAACATTTATTTAGTTTAAGCTATTGCTAATACTCATGAGTCCATCAGCTTAAATGATATTCTTTTCTATCCCCTGTCGTCTATTTTTTGTCAATTTTTTAATTGCTCAAATACCGACAATAAACCTATTGCCATTTATGTAAGTAGAACCAAACTATGAATTATGGTAGTCAAAATGTTGATATTTAATAAGCCTCCGCCTAACCCTTCAAGAATTAATTCGTGTAGGTATTATGTGTGTACATTCTGTAAATTGGCTGCCTAAAACTATATTAAGTGCAGTGTATGTGTTTTCCTATCATGTTACGGAAATTCTAGCAATGACAGTTTAGCTTCACCTGTAAATTAATAGGATCAGATGGACCATTAGAAGAGCTCTAGTGAAAACTCTATAAATAAACAACTTGGTGAAACTATAAACATAACCACATGATTATGTAACATTACTTCAATATTAGCTCTAACCCTTGATAATATTTTTCTCTGTACAACAGCACAATTTACCGTTAAAAGATAAAAATAACCTCGTAATTTATTAAAACAATGGAAAAGTAAAATGTGTGTAAATCTGTGGTAAATCGCAAAAATACTTTTGACATGGTTTAACAAAAACAAAATTTGTTTCACTATGGTATAATTGTTATCTTGGCAAAACATTGTGCCACGCTGATCTTTTGACTTCTAAAGTTTCTGTATTATAGGCAAAGAACTTTGGAAATAAGTAGATAACACAGAATACAGTTATTATAGCTAATATTGTATAGACTAGGAGCACAAGAGACTCTATACTAAAATTGAGCTCAAGAAGTTTTAAAATAGAAGATGAAACATTTGATGACGCGTCAGATTCTGAAGGTAGTAGTAATATTTTCAATGATTTAGACACTGTGTGGTGACGGATTAAGAATACAGAGTGTTACCACCCCTATATTTCCCGTGGGTGTCGTAAAAGCTGACTAAGAGAGCAAACTATGTAGGACAACAGCACTGCAGAGATAAGGATAACTTGACACAAACCCTTTACCAACACGTCTGGCCAGCAGTGGACTATTAAAGGCTGTTGATGTGATGTGTAATGTGAAAGAGTACGAGGAGCTGACTGCCAACCTTTACTAGTCGGAGAGGCGATTAAAGAAGAAGGAAGTTATATAACTAAATTACCAAATTAATTGCCTCTTAATTTTTAATGTTATGTTTTAAGTATTTATTGATTATTCCGATGATTATAGCATGAGCACCTTGTGCACTTATATTTGAAATTACTATACGTGATACTGATGTTTTATGTTTCATAATTGTTGATTTAAATAGTCTATACATAGGTATTACCATCCATTGGACATTCTGCGTAGTCTATGCGTTTTAATGTTTATACCTGTAGCCATGGTTAAGATTTAAAAAAAAAAAATCCTCAGTATTTATTATATTTTCCGTAATTGCCTATTATTAAATAAGACTTAATAAGTAATTAAACTGAGTACTCGTAGTATAACAATTTGTAGGGTTTCTTTAAAAAATATATTTTTGTTCCAAATTCTAGGCAATTTTAAGCAAATTCCAATACTTATTCATCTCTAGCTGACCTTGTCTGCTTTACTCTAAAGGATTTTTTTTTTTAATTTTACAACAAATTTCGTTGATTCTCCGCTCCTATTCGCGTACTTAAAAAGAATAATTTAAAATAGCCAAATCCTTTCTCAATAAATGGGCTACATTAAAATATTTTTCTATTTGAACCAATTGTACCTGGGAATAGAGAATACTGTGTTATTATTGTTAAATTTTCCGGACTGATAGAACCTTCAAGAAAAGAGCGTACTGCTTCCTAAAAAGCCGGCAACGCGCTTGTAACGTCTGAGTTGCAGGCGGTTATGGACAGCCGTGGTCACTTTCCATCAGGTGACCTGGCTGCTCGTTTGCCCCTTTTCCATAAAAAAAATACACACATACATACACTCGACTAGACTGGACCGGACTGGACTCTGTCGACTCGACTTCGACGTGCCAGAAGGAAGTGTATGTCGACACTTCCTTCTGGCACAGTCGAGTAAAAAAGTTTTTAGTAAAATATCTTATTTTTTATTAGTACCTTCACTGTACTTACCACCACGCGACACTCTTCTGTTAGGCAGTGTTATCACTCCGATCGAGCCATTTGTGCCGAAACATGACTCTCCCACGGTGAGTATGGTTCTACCACGACCAAAATAAACATACAACATACTTATTAATAATGTGTTTTATAGCTTTTATAAATGAACTAAAAAATATATTTTTCCGACAACTGACAAACAACGCCATCTAGTTTCAAACTATGCAGAACTTGTACTATGACTCAGAAACAAATATTTGAAGTTCATACAAACATTTGGTCCGATCCGGGAAACGAACCCTAATCAAATAATATAATTCAAAGTCTATATCACGCTTTTAAATAACCAATGAGTAACATTTTCAACAACAGAATCGACCGAAAGGAATTATATGGGGTTATATATATACTTTTTTTTATTAATTTATTATTTTGTTCTACAAAATTTTACAAATAATCAAACATGTTTTTTGTACTTAGTGCCTTTATTTTTAAATTAAAAAAAAACTTATTTATCAAATTAACAATTTTAACACATAATTAGCATCGTAACTTTTTTAGAATTAAATTTAATTAACTTCACCAAGTAATTAACTTCAAAACAAAGCAACTTAAAAACAAATCAAATATCTCTGTGACTTTTCTTTCCATACACTCGTACTATAATTATTGTTAATTCATATTTTAATTACGACATAAATAAGTATAGGTATAGATGTTCATATTAATTTGTGGTGGTACAGATGGATTTATGGGAGTTACTTCAATAAATAACAAGCAATTAATGATTCCATAATATACATTTTAATATAAATGTTTTTGCTGTTTCCACTTAATGCTGGAGCTAGTTCTGCATCATTCGTGTGGAACATATAATAATTTTAGTCCGTGTGGTGACGGATTAAGAATATCGATTGTACTCCTATTCATCTCGTGGGTTTCGTAAGAGCCGACTGAGGGAGCTAACTACACAGAACAACAGCACTGCAAAGAGAAGGAAAACTTGAAACCAACCCTATCCCAAGCCGTTTTGTTAGCGTGGTACGGTAGAGCACAAGCTCCTTTCTAAGCAGCAGTGGACTATTAAAGGCTGTTGATGATAATTAAAATAATTTTAGATTGCTTCGCTTCGCATCATAATATTTTTTTTAAATATTCTTTGAATTTATAAACGGGCTGTTTACACTTGATTGATAGTTAAGGATGATTCTTAAACATAAAACATCAAAAATATACATTAGTAGTATTTATGTATAAAAAATATTTCCTAGGTTAAGACCTTATTTACTTCTCTAATTTCTGTATACCTATCACCAGTTCAAAATGAATCCATCCAAAGGTTGCCTGGAAGAAATTGCACTAAGCGATAAGGCTGCCCTTTGTACTCGTACATTACATCGGTTGTTAATTACTGTATAATGTCTGTAAAACCCTAATTAATATTAACCTCGCATAGTCGTGTACGATAATTTGTCCGATAAACGATGTCCGTAAAACTTATTTTCATAACATCCTTCGGATCCTTCATCCTTCGGAAACATTTTCTGGTTGAAGTATTTCCTAACTGTTACTTTACACCTAAGTTAAAAGTTGATAAACAAAAACAAACTACAATATTATCATTAGGATTTTTGGTATTGGTTGTGGGCTTCGCATTCCGCATTTAGACTCAAGAGTAGTCCTTTATGCGTCGAGGATTGGTTAGCTAGGTGAGCCAACCAAGCTCCTTCCAGAAGCGCAAAAGCCTCCTGGGGCGTTTACAGGCTTCTGGGAGCGATTTTGTATCATTGGGTACATGTCATTATTTATTTCATCGTTTGTACCCCATTACTACTAATAAAATTAATTTAATTATGAGTACTGAATTTTAAACGAGTACTCATTATGTAAGTCTCACTGTAATTTCATTTTAATAATTCCTCAGAACTTAGTAACTTCAATATCTTTGTTAGTCTCCTTAGAGCCAACATTTTCCGCTTCAAAAACAGTATCTGGTAATACATCTTCCGCTGTATCGGGCATCATTAACACTAATAGTCCTGTTACTAGTGATAACACCCCAACGAGCAGTGAAGGCAGTCCATACCAGTATCGCATCTGGAATCATAGAAGAATTTCTCAAAATAGGTTTAGGTTAGTCGCACTAGTAATTCACTTCGATGTTATTTCGCTGTGTCGTAATACAATACTGTCCCGTACGACCAACACGCTCCCTTATAGGGCTATCGAAATTACTAGACTAATCCCGAGTATCCGATGGAGTGTTCCAGACAGAACCACGTACAATAAGGAATCTACAGATTTCTATAATCTTTCGATATTCGACACTAGATGTCACTGCAAGTATTAGTATTAAAAACCATAATCTCAATGAATTAAAATCATATCAATAAACACACGAACAAATAACAAAACCGAATATCAATATGCAACAAACAATTCCACACCTTTAGCTAAGCCATATAAGATTGTAAATAGCTATACGAGTACTTACAAGTAACGGAGTTTGAGGTGCCAAAATTGTTGCTGTTCGACCTATGGAAGAACACAACGAGTGCATAGTACTCCGTGTTTGAGTGGGAAACAGTTCAGCGGTGTACAAGTACACTATTGCAGAAGATATTGCTGCCATGAACTTGCCGACAAGGAACAAAAATGTTGATAGAACTATGTGCCCTGAAATTTTTTCACATAAATACACAGGAACTTCTTTGAAAGTTCTAAATTTAAAATCAAGGTAACTTTTTAAGTTAATTCTCCTTTCAGCGGAAGTTACTATTCAACAGACAACTGGTAGAATGAGGACCAATTAGATGTCAATTCAAAAAAGTTGTATTTAAGGTTTTAAACAAGATAATGCCTCCGTTGTGTGTGTTTACATCTTACGTCAAAAGAACATTTTGACGTAAGATGTAACATATATTGGCTTTACTTAGTATACTAAAAGGATATCTATCTGGTCCTGATGAAATTATTTATCACTAAAAAATATTGGGGAGTATGTGCAATACACATTTAGATAATGTGTCGTTATCAGCGATAAGTGGTTACCACTTAACGTCACTTGGTAGTTTGCTTGCCAACTGAGTAGTTAAAGAAGTAAAATTAATAAGAACTCATAAGGAAAGCTATACCGAAAAGTTAAAACTAATAAAAGAATAGACATTACCTTTAGGAACAAACGCCCTTGCCCCACAGAATACTCCAGTCAAAAGGAACGAAACTGTCAACGGTATTCTTCTTTTGAACTTATTCAAAATGAAAACTAATAAAAAGCTGGCTGGTAATTCTGATATCTGTGTCAAACCATAGTTAATATACTTGTTCCCTTCCAATTCAACGGAATTTAATATCAACACGTACTTATTAAAGAGCGTAACAATCCACATACAAACACATCCTCCAATTCTCGCAACTAACTTTCGTGACGAGAAAGTAACCTTCAAGACTTTCAACAATCCAATGTCACCCTCAGTTCTTTTGACATAAGATATATTATCAATTTCAGCTTCAGTAATATCTACTTTATTCATTTTCGTAGCTTCTCTTATAATGTTCTTAGCTTCATTTTTCCGTCCAGTGATTAATAGCCATCGGATGCTTTCATCCAGTAGAAAAATGTAAAGTAGAAACAGTAAGCATGGTGCATAAATTACTCTAAGGAAATGTCTCCAGTATGGGACTATCCACGCTATAATTGCCATCAATACTCCTGATAAAGATGTAGTGGCTGTCATTATAGTGATAAATGCAGCTCGATTTTCCTTTGTTACCATTTCAACTCCTGAAATGTATTATCATTATTATTCTTGTAATTCCAGACGTTTATGATGATGATGTTAACGAAATAAATAATATGCTCAATGATCATGATTTCTTTAAAAATAATAGTAACTTATTGAATTAAATATTTAAAAAAATATTAATTTTGTTTTCACTTCCTTAAAAATAACTGACTGCAGCTGTTTTTATTGTTTTTTTTTTATGGAAGAAGGGGCAAACGATCATACGGGTCACCTGATGGAAAGTGACTAGCGCTGACAATGAAAGCCTGCAACTCAGGAGTTACAAGCGCATTGTTGGCTTTTAGATAGGAGTACGCTCTTTTCTTGAAGATTTGAAGGTCGTATCTTAACGTGACTATTTCTCAGAAACTTTTAAATACATGTCACAAGCATCAAGTTTTTCTCTATGGCTACTTAAATACCTAGTTTTTTCGAGTACTTAACCATATAAGAACTAAACTTTAACAGTTTTTAAGCCTCATAAGATCTAGGATTGAAAGAAATGTTTTTAATCAAGTTTACATCTAATTCTTATAACTTTTAGCTATAAAACTCAATGGGGTGGGATGGAACTTAAGTATCCTCACTCAATCGATGTAAAGTAACGAAATAAATCCTTAACTATAGTTTTCTGTAAACCGTTGTATATCTCGGTCGATCGGCCTAATATTTATATCGAAACATGACTCTCTGTCCCACAAAAAAGTGAATATTTATTCACTAACTACAAGAAAAACGTATTGGACTACTCACCTCTATACTGTCCATAACTATAAGACTACTCAGTGTGACCACCCCTATTCATCTCGTGGATGTCGTAAGAGCCGACTAAAGAAGCAAACTACGCAAGACAACAGCACTGCTAAGAGAAGGAAAACTTGAAACAAATCCTATACCAACCCGTCTGGCCAGCGTGGTATACTATACCAAAATCTCCTTTCTAAGGAGGCCAATGTCCTGCAATGGACTACTAAAGGCTGTTGATGATGATGATGAACCATAAAATGCATATATGGAACACCTATACAGGACACCGGTATTATTTTAAACGAACAGAAGCTAACCGTTGAATCTGATTGCACTAAAAATAAACATTACATACCTAACATAAAAGTCGGAGAATAATTATCACCCAAAATGGCTTCAATCAGTTCTAGAATAACAAACACCCAATAGGAATGTACTAGGCTTCTCCCCATTCCTATGATACCAGCTATTGTTCCAGTCAGAATAATCACATTCTTTCTGCCTAATCTGTAATGAATAAAACGGTTTACATATGACCGTTGTACGAACTCGTACATGATTTGATGACTCTACACTTTACAAAATATATACAGAAGAATACACGTTTTATAACGTCTGTGCAATATCGATCGCTAGACTAAACACACGACGCGTAGTAGTATATAATCGCTGATAAGGTCAATTTGTAATAATTATCTGAGTGAAAATAAAGCGGGTTTTACGTTAACTACAGCATACTGTTATTTTATCTGATCATCACCTGCAACGTACAACTTCCACTGCTCCAACTATTCAACCGCTCATAATTAAAGAGATATATTGAATTGAGGGCTGAGGATATTGGCATTGTAGGAGAATTAACGAAGCTTATTTACAGAAATATACACCCAAGGGTTTCTAAGTGTAGCCCGGGACACAAAGCATCTAATTCTATTTTTAATATATAGAAATACTTAAACAAAAATTTATATCTTAATACCACTTACTCACGGCCGTTCGATCCTTAATGTGGTATAGTAATATGGTAACCAGACTGCTAATTCACATAGTTACATTTCTAAATACATACATACTCCGACACATAACAAATATACGGATTGACGAATTTGACGTGCTGGCGGATTAAGAATACTGGGCCTCAATTCTGCTATTTTAATATTGTATCAATAGACTGTCGATGAAATGTCGTCGGAATAGTTCTGCACTTTTCATATTCTACTAAGACTATAACTATCTAAGACCAATGGCCTCCCGATGACTTGTCACTGATACAAATGTCATCGATGTCTTTGTAATAGTTTTGTAAACGGTACATTTTAAATTTGTTAGAAAATGACATATTAAATTTTCGAGGTATGGCAATATTGTTAATATCCCCATTGATGACCTATATTACTATATAGTCTATTGACACTGCGAATTTGTGATGGTAGAATACTGATATTTTGACCGATGTCAATGGCGTCTCAATGGCATCTCAATAGCGTGTCAATGGAATGACAGGGACTTGGCGTTAACATTAAATAGCAGAATTGAGGCCCTGAACTTTACTACCCCTATTTATCCCGTAGGTGTCGCAAGAGCTGATTAAGGGAGCAAACTACCCAGAACAACAGCACTGCAAAGAGAAGGAAAATTTGAAGCAAACCCTATACCAACCAGTCTGGCCAGCATGGTATAGTAGGCCAAAACCTCCTTTCTAAGGAGAGGCCTATGTCCAGCATTGGCCTATTATAGGCTGTTGATGTGATGTAACATAACAAATGGTTCGTCACCAGACCGATAGGACCGTCACCTTGCTCTATTTTGTTAACACCTTGTTTTTTTTGTCAGTATTTACTATTTTAAGTAGGTTACACTTTCTAGCTTATTTTCTCAATAGGTAATTAACTCGTACTAAGGAACTCAAGTTAAAGTGACAAAGAACCTTCGGTGACGTCACACCCCACAGCTGTAATAATGATAAAAAGTGAAATGAAGTACTTGTCAGCCAGCGGTCCAATGATCAGCAACCCAGCCATATATCCGAAGCTGTGTACACTGGCAACGAAAGGCCTCTTCCAGTCTTGACAGCCCAGGTTGAACTATAACAAAATGATCATCCTAACTTCTAACCGTAATTTTTTCTCCAACACTCTCAACACCAACACCCACTCCAACACTCTTTTTTTTTAACAACGCCCGCATTAGGAATATATATTCCTGTGTCGCGGGGGACTTTTCAAACATACGTGAAACGGACACAAAGAACACCCAGACTCAGAACAACAATTTGTGGATCACACAAAGTGTTGTCCCATGTGGGGTTTGAACCCACAACACTCGGCGTAGTACGACGACGACCACTTAAACCACTACGCCATCCGAGCCAACAATTGAGTGTACACAATGAATTTGGATATTACTTGGATATTACTACAACTGAACTGAGGATCTATTACTAAAGATCATAATTGAGAATCACAAATTTTTTTTGATCCAAAATAAACTTTTTTTTTAAAGTCAAGTTAGTTAATTCTATTTTTATTTTCAAAACCGTACTATATAACAGCTTTAAATGATCATCAATCCAAAGCACATAGATTTTTAAACGATCTGCCAGAATCTAAAAATATGAGAAAATTAAAATAAAAAATTAACGTACCTCAGCATAAAACGAATCTTTCTCATCGTAAACAAATTCCGTGCATTCCTCTAATTTGTTTTTATCAATATTACTATCTATACAGGAGCTATTTTCATCAATAATGAAGTATCTATAACAACTGTCGTCTAATGTAGAACTAAGATTCTTCTCCAAATTTGTGTCCCCACAGTTCGGATATTTACAACTGAAAAACATTCAACATGTTTGTAAATTTAAATATAAATGTTTTTTTTCATGAAACATTATATAATCGATTAATTCGGGAATTGCGACGACTATTAAGTATTATATTCATTTGAGTTACCTTATATTTTTACTAGAAGGCCAATTCTCGTAATAAAAGTTCGGTCTCAATTCAGTTCCGATCAAGTTTCGATCTCACAACTGTCATAAAAGGTATTTTCGTAGTAAAATAGTAAAGTATTACTAAGACTAGCAGATTACCGATTTAACTTTCGGTCACAATACAATATAATGTGTCCGTGTAGTGTCGGATTAAGAATACGGAATGTCATTACCCCAATTCATCCCGTGGGTGTCGTAAGAGCCGACTAAGGGCGCAAAACAACGCAGGACACCAGCACTGCAAAAAGACGGAAAACTAGACACAAACCCTATACCAACCCGTCTGGCCAGCGTGGTATAGTAGGCCAAAACCTTCTTTCTAAGGAGAGGCCTATGTCCAGCAGTGGACTATTAAAGGCTGTTGATGTGATGATGTGTGACAATATAATCACATTACAGTGAACGTTGGATGTTTAATACTTTACTACGAAATTACTTTTTATGACAGCTGTGAGATCGAAAGTTGATCGGAACTGTATTGTGACCGAACTTTTATTACGAGAATTGGCCTTTAGGTTGCACTTGCTGTGGTGAACTGTCTTAATTGTAAAGATTTTTCACAAAGTACATCTAAATCATCTTTAAAATCTTCGTGTACTCTGATATATGATTTTATAGTAATGATGATGATGACCAGGGCATATGTAAACTGGTCCTAACGTCGAGCAATTTAAATAAAAAACCCAATGCGTGATCGTGTTAATTCCCATTTATATACAACTAGCTTTTCCCTGTGCCCTTTTGTAAATAGTAGCCTATGTCCTTCCTCAAGAATCAAAATAACTCTTTGGTAAATTTCATTAAAATCGAGTCAGCGGTTTAGCCGTGACAGAGAGACATTTTATATCTAAACAATAACTTTGGATGTTCCTTCCATCCTAACTGATCCAAAGACATGTATAAAACATTGATATAGCAACAGAATAGAATTTATTGTTTATAAAATTGTTATTGCCAATAAACAGAGGATTTGATTTGATTACACCACTTTGTCTAGATTGATTTATTATTAAGTTCATCAACAAATAATTTGGTCCATTTGTTCAAAGTATTAATACTACATAAACCAATAAAAAAATAGCTGTATTTATAATCTTTCTAAAACCGTATTATTATAGCTCTTAGAAATCCTTTTTTAATCACAACTACGTAAATGTACACCCATATTTGAATACACCTAATTTTGGACCGTTAATTGCAATTACTAATTTGAATACTTTGTGTATAAAACATTAGCATTTAAAGAGTATTT